GTGGATGTGTGCGAGCTTGAGTGTATGTGTGCGTGCGTGCGTGGGTGAGTGCGAGCATGAGTGTGAGTGTGCGTGCGTATGTGTGTGCGAGCGTTACCTCGGACATGAGCTTGAAGACGGCGTCGTCCTTCTCTCTCAGCTGCTGCAGCAGCCGTGTGTTCTGCTCCTGCATGTCCTCAAACGCCTGCCCCGTCAACTCCATGTCGCTCAGCAGTGCATCCTCCTCCTGTCGTCACGGCAACCAACGCATCGATCAGTCGTGGCATGTGCACGCCATACACACACACACACACGCACACGGACGCACGCGCACATCATAGACACATACATAAACACTCACACAACGCATGCATGCACGCTTATACCCCCGTCACACTGGACGGCGACCATCCGCGACCGTACGGCGACCAGAAAATGTACAAGGTCGCCGGCAAACGTGAACNCGTGCATCGCAGCGCCCGCGATGCGTTGTGCACGGTCAACACTGCAGCATGTTAGTCTCTGATCTACTAGGCTTAGATACAATAATCTCGGAAAAATGGCCTAAATATCCTTCCGGATCATCTCCAAAAATCTCTAATGATCTCAATTGTTTTCTTATTCTAAAATCCCAAAATTTTGATCTAAATATCTCAGTATCTTGAACGTAATGTCTATTTATTAAACATTATTTAATTTGTGGCGAAAAAGCGCAATACGAATTATATTTATAAATTTATAAAAAAAAAATAAATAATATAAATTAATTTCTATCAGAAAAATGACAAACTCATTCGCTTACAAATCCCTTAATATTTGAGGAAATTGTGTTTTAATCTTCTAAATTATATAAGGATATTTCTAAATATCCGATTTAATTACTAATATCCGACAAACTTCTAAATATCTAAAGCTATCGGGGATATTTATCTAAGCTATCTACCATAGCTGCTAACAAGCAGGCTTTCCAGAGACTGCGCATTCGTTGTACTCATGATCAGCAGGTTGTTGCGGAGGATGGAAACCAATTGTCGATCACAATTAACCGTATCATTGCTCGAGAATGTAAATTTTCAGTGTCCGCAGCATTTCATTGTTATACTAAACTCAACTAAAGTTAGACACGGTCACGAGTTAGAGATCCTGACCTGTCGCTGCCTTATTTATAATAAAACCTTGTAAAAATGACTGAAGCTGTTGATTTGCATTGTCTGTGGATAATACGACCAAAATGAAACAATGCAAGGCATACTTGACAGGGGCGTAGCTAGGGTGAAATGGATGTGTACGCAAAATTAGGCTGGGAGGTCTCTGCACAGGGAAATTTATTTTTTGGGGAAAAGTGTAGATGATCGGATGTTTTGGGCACTTTTGGTAAATCAGGTTTACAGCCATTCTGACTACGACAATTATCTTTTATAGTAGACTATTCTCTTATGTAGCGTGTAGCGGCGGTGCGTGTGGGCGCCACAGATCTGTGGTGCGTGCTCAAACACACACCTAACTCATTGCAAATCATATCACATCCGGCATCACGTTCCTCTCGCGCTTCTCTCGCGTTCATTATTCAATGCCAGTGCTGTAACAGTGGGGAACAATTTCTAGTCTGACTGAGCTCTCATTCGGGTTCCTTCTCTTCTCTTCATTCTTTCTCTCTCTCTTCCTCGCCTCTCTTGTTCTCTCTCTCTTTTCTCTATTGTGTATCTATATTCTTGCAGGCTGTGCCATATTTAGTCTTTGCACTCGCAACAATCTGTGCCTTGCGTTAGGCATGAATTACAATAAGGTCTGCTCTCGTCTAACCACTCGTGAAATGTTTACACGCTCTAACAACAAATTCATAATATCGTCTCTCAATGACGTCCCGTTTACGCTTCACACATCTCTCCTAGCACCCTCTCTCCGCTCTTCTCCTATACCCGTGACTGCTCATCTCTGTAAGCTCTCTAACGCCCTCGCGCCCTCTCGATCTCCCCTCTCTCTCCCTCTCCTCAAAACTCCCTTAGCGTCCTCTCATCTCTCATCTTTTCTCCTCGCCTCTCTCCTCCTTTCCCTAACTCTCTGACAATAAATAACTGGCTTTGTTTCCTCCCGCCAACCGACCGTATTTTTCTTGGTGAGAATGATGGATGTATACAAGCTTTTAACTGCGTGCATCTGCGTGTTTAGTCGGTATGGTAGCTACGCACTCCGTATCAATGGTATGGCGGATATTTTTAACGGTGTGCTGGCACGACGATGCATTCTATACACACACATCAGAATTGCTAGGCTTGATTTATTTTGGTTATATTATATATGTCTGCCGGGCGATAAACAATATATATAATAAGCTTCACCAGCTATAACCTCATGTCAACTATAATATCCACAACGCCTAGCTACCAACGCAGGCACACAACGTGACTTACCACGTCGAGAGCTCCGCGCGTACGCGCACGCGCACGGCACGCCGCCGGACGCCGCAGCACTCGGCTCGGCCGCCGCACACCCACAGGCACGACGACGCTGAGTCATAGTCGTAGACATTTAGCAGATGACGTCGTGCCTTGCCTAACTTGCCATCGCCATGACGACGCAACATTTGCTCAGCAACAACACACTGTCGTGGCCATCGTGGACCGTTCTGAACTTCTACTGTACGCGATCGTTGCTACTAACGTCGAATCGTTGACGACAAATCTGCAGAGGATTTACATGCAGGTTTTAGCACTGAACAGTTCCGCGTGACAGTGCGATGTGGAGCGCGTTGCCACCTCCGCCACCACGGCTCTCACACGAACACCCGTCTACGCCGGCAAATCTACCGTCTCGCTGTTTCACACACTCAGGCCGTTTGACTCCGGTAAGCGAGGCTCCCTCGCTCGCTCGCTCGCTCGCTATACCACAAACACGATGCTAGACGATCACGATTCACCCCACGGTTAGCAACGGCAACACCACCAAAGTTCGTTAGTGCAGTTCTCGCGAAAGATACGAACAACCAAGGCCATTAACACATCGCGTGTCGGCTCCGGCACACGCGGGACCGAGTCCAACCTTCACAAATTCGTTTTTTCCGGACATTTTTCCACATATATATATACAGAATTATTGATATCGCGAGACAAGCGAAGCATTGAAAGAATTTTACAACCGAGCATCTTACGAGATGACAGCTTTAACTTTAAGACATTCTTTAAGAGAGTTTTTGTCCGCCCAATAAAACTTTTATTGGTATACACACAGGTGGCTCCATCTATCGATTCCAGCCAGGCCAGTTCGTACTGGCCACAGCTTACTCGAATCTAGAGATCAAAGCCAATGGTCAGTTACAGGACATACAAACTATACAGTTTCATGAGTATAGGATCGCGTGGCCGAGCTGTGAAGGCAGAAGGCTAATTGTGACGGCGCAAACTAGCGCCACCTTGTGTGTGAATCGTGGATCACAGCGTGGAATGTCCACGCTGGACATTGGTTGTAACAGACCAGGGAGGGTAACACATAGTTTATCCAGCCTCGCTCTACCTATCCTAGGTGTGGCTTGAACCCACGTCGCATGCATATGCCTACTGTGCGTACCCTGTGGGTAAAGCCCACGTGCGTACGCTGTGGGTACCCCATAGGTAAAGCTTGCTGCTCAGGTGTGCAGGCATACTGCTGTTGCGTCAGCCAGCCATTACTCAGCCATTACCAGGGTGACAAATGTCCTGCTCACGATACGTTGGTCACATATACATACGTACTTATACATATGTGTGGTCGCGCGAGTGTGCGTGATTGTGTGTTTACACGTGCGTGCGTGCGTGCGCGAGTGCGTGCGTGCGTGCGTGCGTGTGTGTTTGTGTGTGTACCCCTAATTGCACCTGTGTCAGGTGTAGAACTTCTGATTACTTGTGTACAGGTGTATGTAATCATGTCCTGGATGCGTACTGTCCTGAATGTAGCTGAGCAGCTTGTAAGTGTGCCTGCATTTAAATGTACAGGTGTATGTAGCCCTGTGTGTGTGCGCGCTTCTACAGGTATAACGTACAGCTGTAATCAAGCCCTGACTGTGCGTGTTTACAGGTGATTTGCACCTGTAATCAAGCCTGTCTATGTGTGTGTTGTCTACAGGTGACTTACACGTGTAATTACGCCCTGTGTGTGCGTGTCTACAGGTGACTTACACGTGTAATTACGCTCTGTGTGTGCGTGTCTACAGGTGACGTACACCTGTAATCAAGCATACAGGTGCCTCATGCTTGTGGAGTCCCAGCTCGATGAAATGACGATGATGAGTCTTCTCAACTAGAAGGAGCCAACAGCCACAACAGGCATACACGCTCACCACTACCACTGTGAGGGCTTGTGCGTCACACTGCTGTAGTGTGAATGCCGAATGGTGACGATGACACCTGTATGATTTTCAGCTGTATGCGTAGCTTTATTGTACCCGCGTGATCAGTGACGTGTTCAAAAACGGGGTTGTGACGACAGCCTGTAGGCTGGTCTGTACGCGTGGGTAGGTGCTACATGAGCCCAGCAGAGGCAGCAACAGCAGCAGCAGTAGCAGCGGTAGCAGTGGCAGTGCCAGCAGTAGCAGCAGCAGTGGTGGCGGTGGCAGCAGCAGCAGCCGCAGTATCAGCAGCAACAGCAGCAGCAGCAGCAAGCAACAACAATAACAATAGCGACAGAAGCAGCAGTAGTAGCAGCGGGCTCGATGTATGAGTTTGTTCCTTTGAGACCGGAGGCTAGAGGGCCCCACAGGTCGCGACCATCTCGGCAGTTCGCTAACCGTGTTTCCGGGTCGCTTGGTGTTGCGTCATTGGCCGCAGTGCACTCGGCACCTGTTGTAACCATGGTAACGGCCATCGCGTGAGTTGCACGACTGTGGTCTGTGCCTCCAGTGTGATTGTTGTCTCTGTTGATGTAGCCATGGTAACGGTTGCCGCGGGCCGCTGCTGTCAGATGCTTTAGACACACCTGGCGAGGGTTCAAGCCACACCTAGGACAGGTAGAGCGTGGCACACACCTGGCGAGGGTTCAAGCCACACCTAGGACAGGTAGAGCGAGGCACACACCTGGCGAGGGTTCCAGCCACACCTAGGACAGGTAGAGCGTGGCACACACCTGGCGAGTGGTCAAGCCACACCTAGGACAGGTAGAGCGTGGCACACACCTGGCGAGTGGTCAAGCCACACCTAGGACAGGTAGAGCGTGGCACACACCTGGCGAGGGTTCAAGCCACACCTAGGACAGGTAGAGCGTGGCACACACCTGGCGAGGGTTCAAGCCACACCTAGGACAGGTAGAGCCGGTGGAAGTCGTTGGCGCCGAAGCCGGCGTTGCACTTGGGGCACTTGCGCTGCCGCGTGTCGTAGCGCGTCTTGATGCACTCGAAGCAGAACACGTGGAAACACTTTGTGAGCACGGCGTCCTTCATCTTCGTCTTGCACGACGGGCACGTCAGCTGTTCCTGTGGATGCCAGAGAGTAGAGACACGCAGACGTCAGTCACACGCACACACACACGTGCGCACGCATGCTCACAGACGACAGACAGACAATACATACATGCGTGTGCCTGTGTGGTTATTTGTGCATGTTGAACGCACTGCACGCACGCACTGCACACACGCACGCACGCACGCACACACATACAGACAATACACACGCACGCATACACAGGCTACATGCTGATGATGATATCTACAGCAATATCTATAGTTTAAGCCGTTATCTATGCGAGTTAAAATCTTGACCCTCGAAGTTCGTGACAAACTGACAAGGCTACGGTTGAAGGCGTTATTAGCTGAAGGATTAGTTTAGTTTTCTCCTGATAGGTGGCACCACCTACCTGTAATCCCTGATCTCCTCTAACAGAACTTCGTCTGCACTGCTGGCCAGCTCCATCTTCTTATGCCGCTCTAGCTTTCTGCGCAAACTCACCAGCTCCTCCTGGTGGGCACAACAGAAACACATTGAGGAGCGATTCCAGCTTCAAATGTGGAATGTCAAACTAATATACCGGCACATCAGATGCAAAACGTTAGGGTTATATGGAAAAAAACTACTATCAGTTAGGTTACCAAGAACAGAGAGAACAAATTCGTTCTGCAATCGCTGATTTATTTTCTAACGTTGAGATTATGTTTACCTTCTTAGCTGCCCATGCTTATCTCGTTTTTCCCAAATACAGCCCTCAATGTATATCCTGTATCATCCCCACTACACGTGTCCGCCCGCGCTCTCACCAGCACTACCTCCCTACCTCTCTCTCACTAGTGTCATTCCTCCCACCCCTCTTACTGATGCTCCTACCTCCCCCTCACCCGCCGCCCCCTACCTGTATGCGCTTGTTTTTGAACTGCTCCTGCTCGAGGGAGCTGCTCTTCTTACCGCCGCTCCCTACCCTACCCCCCTCAGCGGCACCCCCTACCTGTATGCGCTTGTTCTTGAACTGCTCCTGCTCGAGGGAGCTGCTCTTCTCGGCGACGGCGAGCTGGGTCTCGCGCAGCTGTGCGACATACTTGTCGAGGTGCAGCTTGAGGTCGGCTGCAGACTGCGCGCTCTCTATTGCCTTACGCTTGTGCATCTCCATCGCCTGCTGTCGCAGACTGCAGCAGAGAGAGAGAGAGCATGTGAGAGAGAGAGAAGGGGAGGGAGGGAGGGAGGGAGGGAGGGAGGGAAGGAGGGAGGGAGGGAAGGAGGGAGAGAAGACTGCGCGCTCTCTATCACCTTACGCTTGTGCATCTCCATCGCCTGATGCCGCAGACTGCAGCAGAAAGAGAGAGAGTATGTGTCCTCACCTCCTCTCACCCCTCTCCTCATACCAACACCTTTTCCCAACCTTCTTTTCATGCCAACACCTCCCTTCACCTCTCTCCTTCCATCATCACCTTCTCTGACCCCTCTCCTCACTCCATCACTGTCTCTCACCCCTCACCTCACTCTATCACCCCTCTCTTCACTCCATCACCTTCTCTCACCCCTCTCCTCCCTCCATCACCCTCTCTCACCCCTCTCCTCAATCCATCACCCCTCTCCTCACTCCATCACCTTCTCTCACCCCTCTCCTCACTCCATCACCTTCTCTCACCCCTCTTCTCACTCCATCACCTTCTCTCACCCCTCTCCTCCCTCCATCATCTCTCTCCTCACTCCATCACCTTCTCTCCTCCCTCCATCACCTTCTCTCTCACCTGAGTTCCTTCTCGAGGGTGGCTAGGTTGTTCTGCAGCAGCTGCTCCTTCTCCTCCAGCTTGCGCACGACCTGATTCTGCGCGTTCACCTGATGCTGCAGCGTTTCCACCTGGTCTATAATCATGTCCTTCTCCTCCTTCAACAGCTTGTGTATCTGGTTCGATTTGATCCGCTGCAAGCGAGACGGCGCGAGACGCGAGACGCGTGAGACGCAAGACGCAAGACATGTGAGACGCGAGACATGTGAGACACGAGACGTGTGAGTCAAGAGACGCGTGAGACACGAGACGCGAGTTGTGTGAGACACGAGACGCGACATGCGTGAGACGCGCGAGACATATGAGACACGAGACAAAAAATGTACCTAGTTTGCTTCTGTGCCATTCCCGTAAATCGTATGTAGGGTATGTATCCCTCTTTGTTCCAAGGTTCTTTAAAGGTCACTGGTCTTGATAAGCCTGATTTAAATGTAATATTTGCTCCCGTCCCACTCCCAACTTATGCCGTGGTGCCCTAAGATTTTTTTTATTAAAGCGAAGACAACAGGTGTGTGCGTGTATGCGTGCGTGTATGCGAGCATGAGTGTGAGTGTGCAAGCGTTCGTGTGCGAGCATGCGTGCGCGCGAGCATGAGTGTGAGTGTGCATGCGTGCGTGGGTGTGTGCGAGCATGAGTGTGAGTGTGCGTGCGTGCGTGGGTGTGTGCG